AGGAAAGGTGAAGGCAAGAATGTTTCTTTCGATGATAAAGCTTCTAGAAAAGTCAGGACCGAGCAACCGACTGGCTCCCGCCTGACTGATGCACCACCACTTGTTTCCCTTCCACTGTATTCACAGGTGACTGATCCATTCATCCTGATGTTGTTTGAGAGAAGTAGGGTCAGTGACCTCGGTACTATACTTTGTTTGGCTCTACCCTTGAAGAAACATAACCCTCTTTAGGTTATGATCTTTTGTCATCTCCCATAGAAGAGACCATCAATCGACAAGGAAAAAAGCCAACAAAAGATTTCAACATCCCTCTTCCCCCTTCTCTTGAAAGAAAAAGGTGTCCTTCAAATAGCACCTGGAGAAGGGGGGAGGAGGATGGTTATGGGTCGGCACCAACCAACGGTTCAATTTGATGGACAGCTTGAAGGATTGGTTCTCCAATTTTGATGAGACCGAGGGAATAACGCCAGTCCTAGTGAAGTTGTTATGGTCCAACAATTTTGACCAAGCCTTGAAGTAAAGGTGTCATCAAGAGATTTTACAGCACTCGATTTGATTCCATCTGATGGCTGTGCAAGCAGCCCATCTTCAGAGATTGGCACTTGGTGTTGCTTCATATTAAAGTTGCTTCGATGGAAGCTGAACTTCAAAGGGCTCAGGATGATAGAGACCTCCTTCAAGTTAAACTTGATAATTTTGCTGCTGAAGCAAAGGATTATCTTGACATAATGGATGCCCTGATGGAGGATAATAATGAGCTTAAGGAGAAGGTTGTCTTATCTACTTTGAATGAAGAACACATGTTTAAACTGGCAAAGTAATTTCGACAAGGCCTGAATTATGCAACCAAAAGATTTATTCATCATGGCCTGGTCGACGCCAAGTTCTCCAAGCTAGAAGAGTTCGCAACCTCATCCCAGAGAAGGAAAATACTCCTCAGAAGAGAAGGAAATCGAGGGAAGCTCCAACAGTGAAGATCAGTCAACAACTAGATGAAGTCTAATGTGCTTCAAAGCTCTTACAAAATCTCATCGAAGGAAAAAATTTAAACAACTGTAATTTTCTCTCTCTCTCTCTCTCTCTCTCTCTCTCTCTCTTTGGGCACGATCTTAAAAAAAAGGCCCAAACGACCCCGGATGACGAAAAGAACTGCGCGATCACGTCCGGAATGTCGATTTTACTTAAGTAGGACGTTCGGTATGCCACGATTTCGCGAACGAATTAAATATATATATATATATGAAAATTTTACATCCAATCTTCTTTATTTCTTGTTTTGAATTGCTTGTGATATCACATATCTATTGATCGTTTGCTCATCTTGGAAGTGCGTTTGTCGATGTTTATCAAACGGTGGAAATTTTTTGTCTTCCATTCTAATCATTCGACCAGATTTTCGTCTCTCAAAGAGACTTGCATCCGGGGTAATCATTTTCACACTACTAATCTTGTCATTAGTGGATATTTGATTATCTCCGGAGCCATATCCCAAATGAAGATAGAGCAATTTGCATTGATTGTCCGTCTTTTACATCGATCGATCATTAATTTTATTTTTATCGATGATTAATTTTTAAAATCAATCAATTTATTTATATTTTGATTGGTCGTTCCTCATAAGTCTTAATTAATGGTGTCTCATTCGATCAATTGGATTTCCATCTCGGTCAGGTTTATTCCTTGCACTAGTCACAAATCTTGTTATTACTTCTGAGGGTAACCACCAAAACCTGTTTTTTAGATGATTTTCCTCTATACTCTTATGCGGATTTTTTTGCTAGTGAGCAGATAACCATCTCCAAAAACTTAAATCTTATCGACTTTGGAGATTGGTTGCAACTCAAGGTAGTGTCAATAATTGATAGTTCTACTTACATTACAATAGATCATAATTGATGTGTACCTTATCACTCGGTCAATCTGAGTTCCCTGAGCATTGAAATCTACCGCATTATTCGATCTGACCTAGTTCATCGAGTGCCAGAAAGACCTGAGTTTTTTTTTTAAACAATTATCTAACTTCAAATTTCATTGTATTGATAAAATGATAGATAACATGTTGTAAATGATACTCCTTTTAACATGTACATAACCGATAGATCTCAACTCCATGTCCCGAGAGATTTCCTTCTTGGCATAAGTCTTTAGCTTGTAAGCACCTGAAGGTATTTGTTGGCTAATTATGTACAGACTGCTTCAGGCTTGATTTAGCTTGTGATCGCCTGTCCACGAGTGGCTCCTGGAAAGAATATCTTCTCTTGAACATGTTTGTTGAAGTACCGAGCGGTTTGCCTTCTCACTTCTTCATGCCAAAGAGCTGAGTTGGTTTGCTTTTCTTCTTTGAGGTTGAGAGCTAGTATTGGTCCCTCATTGTTAGCTTCCTACTATTCAGCCAAACTCTTCTCGGTGAATTAAGAAGCAGTGAGACCCTTTGGCTATGATGGTTATAATTGACAGATAGTATTGCTTGCATCCTATGAGTCAACATGCATGGGTTTAACTGGTCATCATCAAATGTTTCATTCGAATAGCCCAAAATACTGACAAGAGTAGATCTACCAAGTTCCCATTCTCTTTTTTGGCTTTCTTCCTTAAGAAAGTCTGAATGATCTTATTTGTTGGTTTGGCTTGCCCATTCATTTAAGTGTGGTGAAATGAAGCTAATTTCAGATCAATTCCCTTACTTGCACAAATATCTTACACTAGTTGTTCTGAAATTTGATTCGTATTGTCCTTAATGATGACTAACGACAATCCATATATGCAGATAAGATCTGACCAAACAAATGCCTCCATTGTGATTCAAGTGAATAGTTTAGCCTCGATCCACTTTGAAAAGTACTCGACCACTACAAAGAGAAACTTTTGTTAGCCTTTTGATAGAGGAAATGGACCTAGGATGTCCAACCCCCAAGTGACAAACGACCAGGAGCTAGAGATCAGCCGAAGTTTCGTGTTGGTTATCTATGCAAAGGTGTATACTTCTGACATTATTTGCATTTCTTTGAAACTTCCTCTGCATCCTTCCTAAGCATAGGTCAGAAGTAACCTTGTCGTTGCACACGATAAGCCAAAGTCTTACCTCCTTAGTGGCTACCGCATTCTCTAAAGCGTACTTCTTGGAAAGTATCCTGTGCTTCATGTTCCTTCAAACACCTTAAGTACACTGAAGTGACCAATGACCTGAAGAGTTTCCTTCAATCATCAGATATAATGCAACCTTGATTTTGAAATGTCTCGAGTTTATAACGTCTTCTGATATATTCCCAGCCTCCAAATAGATGATGTATGGATCCAACTTTTTGTTCCTTCGACCGCCGCCTCAATGGTCTTAGGCTCCTCAATTCTCGGTTGAGAAGGTTTTATGGGTATTCCACCCAAACAAACGCGTTTGAATGGGATATCAACGACATGATTCTCCTCCCGAACAACATGCTCTGTTCAGAAGTTTTTGATATATCTAATTTCCCTTTTTTTCTTGGTGAAGTATTTAACTATTAATTCCTCTCTTCACTCAAATTTTCCATTGACATGATTTACGAGCAGCAATGAGTCTGACTTAACTAGTAAATCCCGAGCACCTATTTGATACGCCAGTCGAAGCCTAGCAATCAAAGCTTCATACTTTGCTTGATTATTTTGATTATTGGTGACATCACACTTCTGAGTGCTCATGTTGTAGTGAAAAGAAATTCACTATCATTGATAGCTCTGTCCTACACTACGTCAGATGAGATTCTAGAACCTCAAATCCTATAGCTACAAAATCATATTAACACTTACACTTGCTTTGGAGGAATTTAACCTTGACAAAATCAAAGTTCCACTCTCTCAAAAAAAGGTTGAGCCTCATTTAAAGATCCATTGTTTTATCCATATAGATCAAACAACTCTTTGTCATGCATATTAAAGAAATACATGATTAAAGAAATACATAAAAATGAAATTTTACATCTACTCATAAACTCCCCGACTTCCTAGACCTTGGTGCACTTATGAGTAAACACATTTTCTTAGAATCACGATTAGTAATTGCTTTAGTTTCTCCCATTTCTTGTGGAATCCCTAATCATTCTTTGCTAAGAAAAATTTCATGGACCATTGTATTACATGATTCTTTGTGCAAAAATCCAACTATTGATCCAATTATTTGCATTAAAAAGAAAAGCGACCACATCGTCGGTAGTAAATTTTGCCAGTTAAGCAAAAATCTTTGGTGTCACCTTCAAATCACATTTCCTTTAAAACACATTTTTCCTGATGTCTGTTGCTCAACAAAAAAAATTGAGAAATACTGACTCCGATCATTTTTAGAAAAATCTCATGGACCATTGTATTACATGATTCTTTGTGCAAAAATCCAACTATTTGTTTTAAAAAGAAAAGCAACCACATTCGTCAGTAGTAAGTTTTGCCCAATTAAGCAAAAATCTTCAGTGTCACCTTCAAATCACATTCCCTTTAAAACACATTCAGCTTGATGATTATTTCCATTGCCTAACAAAAAAACTGAGAAATACTTACTCCAACCATTTTCAGAAATTGCAACCCCCCTCCCACATAAATGTAAATGTATGTTGGGGGATGAGAATATGCTCAATCGGTTTTGACATAAAACTTCACAATCATATCATTCAAGAAGTAAAATTTCTTTTGGATTAACATCAAGTCATCCCCCAACAACAAAATTGTATACTCGAGATTCTTGATTTTTCTCGTGTTTTTAGGTGGGTGGGATTTCATAGAAGTTACCATCTTGAAGCACAAAAAATCTCCTTTGTAAAGTGCAACAACAATGCTTAAGGGAGAGCTCATTTGATTGCATAAATAGGTTGGGAGACTCCAAAGTAGGCAACGAGAATGTTAAGGGGAGCTTTGTTGACCGCACACATAGGGTGGGAGACTTTAAGTTGGGCAATAACACAAACACGTTGAGCCACTCTATGGTGAGAAAAAATAATGTCAAGGAGAGCTCCGTTGATCACTTATGAAGTACTCACAATACTTTCATGGTAATCGTGTTCATCCACCAAATATAGGTGTTAAAGATGAGATAGTCCACTCCCAACCAGTTCTTGCCATGTTTCTCAATAGACTCGGGCATAATAATCCGCTCAAGAATACTGTGCTTTGTGGGATCATCTGAGTTAGACTCCACAAGAAACGGCGCCCAGTAGAACTCTACAGTGGCATCATACTCCTAAATCAAAAGTATATTGAGCATATACAATTTATTAAACAATGCTAATCAATTATTCTAGATAATCATGCCGGTTCAGCTTGGGTCTACCTCGACTATCCCGCATCCATCTCTGGATTCATGCCCTAAAAATCATATAATGCTCCCTATAAAATCAATGTGTGATCCATGTACTGCACTCAAAACAGAGTGTTCTGACTGCACAGAATGATGTGCTTACTTCAGCTCGAAAAATGTTAAAGGAACCGTTTTTAATAAGGTTTTTCTTCCCCGGAGGGATGACGGACTGCACTAGGCAGACCATGGATTCCCACTGATTCCGGTTCAACGAGTCACCAACGAACATCAGCCTCTTCCCTCTCAGCTTCTCCAGCATTAGCCTTGCATCAAACCTTCAAATCCCAAGCTATTTATGTAAAAACTTACTAAAAAACATGATTTTAAAATTACTTATATATATATACAAGTATCTATGCCACTCAATTTCTATGTATTTACATATCTAACATCAAAATTTTAATTTTTATATTCTTATTACCTTACCTTTAAATGAAAGAGATGTTCCTTTCAAAGGTTAAAATGCTGATATTTTAGATTTGATATAAAAGATTTAGGAAAAAATATTACATCAGGACTCTATATGCATCCTGAGTGTAATGACAAGGCGTCACGTGTCAAGTAGGTCTCACAAATTTTAACACTGACTAATCTCAATGCATTACAGTGATTCCACTTGACATGTGATACCTCATTATTGGACTCTAGACACAAATTACGTCAGGATTAAGAAGTAGTACTAATGTAATATTTTCGCAAGCTTTAGATGGTATAAATGTATTAAAAAAAAAAAAAAGTTGAATTGAAGTTTTAGACATATAACAGCTAGAAATTGGGTGGTCCATGTAAATGCCCGATATTAAAAACATTTATATAGGTCTTGATCAAAAACTTTGAAAATCCTTCCATTAAAAATAATTGCAATCCTTTTTAATGAACTGACACACTTTCCCCAATCTCAAGGCAGACAAACGTAAAAATTAGCCAAACCCCAAATTAATTATCACTCAACCCTCTCCTCCTCAATTCCATGAAAAAAAAAATTAGCATAATTAACAAAGAGATGCATACTCCGGAAGCGAGCAATCCCGAGGCTCCCACCGCCACTTCTGATAAGTGTCATCCACACGGCCGTTGCGCATACACGTAACCTGAGCCGTCAGAAACTCACACCCTTCTTCTCTATATAATGGCCGCGTCACGTTGTCATACACCCACTCGCCGGTAAAGAGGTCGCAGCTCTCCGGCACGCCCACAAAAGCCTTCTCCTTCTCCCTCTCCTTCACGGCAATTATGCTGCTGTTGGCATCCTGGTCTCGGGTTTGTGCGGGAAAGCGAACAACGAAATGTTGTGCTGACTTGGCGAAATGAATGTTGTAGATGAAGGTAGCGAGGAGGAGGGCGGAGAGGACGACGGCGAATGCGGAGATGAGGCCGTTGGGCTTCCGGCCGGCGGAAAAGGAGACGGTTTGCTTGGCGACGAGGGGCTCCGATGACCGCATGTTCGGCGGGGATTTCCGGCGGGGGAAAAGCATCTTGGTTTAGTTGGGGAAGAGCAAGATGGGATCGATTGGTAGGAACATGGTTAATTAATTATGGTGGATGTCAGCTATGGGCTAAAGCGGATTTGGTAGGGGTAGGAAAAAATAATTGTGGTGTGGATGTATTTAAAATGGGAATGGGTCAAGTAAATCATATGGTTAGAAGAAAAGATACTGATTGTGTAAGTTTTTATATGGGGAGTCGATCGGGAGGCTGTTTATTCTATGGTACTGTTTCTGAAATATGTTGTCATATGAGATTAGAAAATATGTGTGATGTATTATAGATTAATATTTAATTTTCAGATCTCAGAATATTTGAGTATTTAAATAGAAATAAGTTTGAAAATATAGTTGACAAAGTAGATCTTGACTTGGGGGTTATTTGAGATTAGTTCTGATTTATATTTATATTTATATTTATATTTATATTTATATTTATATTTATATTTATATTTATATTTATATTTATATTTATATTTATATTTATATTTATATTTATATTTATATTTATATTTATATTTATATTTATATTTATATTTATATTTATATTTA